TAAACTGGAAACAATTGTTATTCTGGAAGGGGACTGGGATGAGCTTAGAGTAGGGATGGGAAGTTGGTAAAGATGGATTTTTACTTTCATCTATATTGTGTGGATTTGGGGTTTTTTTTGCGGTACGCGGGCCTCTCACTGTTGTGGCCTCTCCCGTTGCGGAGCACAGGCTCCGGACGCGCAGGCTCAGCGGCCATGGCTCACGGGCCCAGCCGCTCTGCAGCATGTGGGATCTTCCCGGACTGGGGCACGAACCCGCGTCCCCTGCATCGGCAGATGGACTCTCAACCACTGCGCCACCAGGGAAGCCCCGTGTGTGGATTTTTTTGCAATAAAACATTTGTGTTATCAAAATGTAAAAGGTATTTTAAATTAAAAAAAGAGAAACTGAAATAATCTAACTTTTTAAGTTGTCAAAACTGATGATCAAATCTATTAGAACGTCATATTGATATTTTACAAAACAGCTAAGACTGAAAGTTCAAAAGTACTTTTCCTATTTTGTTGAAAGTATGTGTGTGTATGTATATGTACTGTATATATTTATATTTACTACATACATCTAAATATTTGTACATGGATACTACATCTATCTACTATGTCTATCTATACACACTATATACATCTATATATACTGCATATATCTATATATGCTGGTAATAAAATGCATAAATGCTGCTTTGGTTTAATCATAGATAAATATCTCATTCTTTATCATTGTTCTTATTACTTATAATGGCAAAAATATCTCCTATATGTTTATGATTAATCTGGTAACTGAATACTGTTTGCCTTTAAAATAATTCAATTAATTTTAGTAAATTAAAAAAGTTTTCTGACATAGTTGCAAAATGAAGAAAAAATGAAACGCTGGTTTACAATACGTAGCATCCCTTTAAAAGAAACCCTTCCAAGTGTGAAGAATGCGTTAAGGTTTTATCAAGTGAATGCTCTTTGTGTAGAAAAACTGATCTAAATCATGATTTAAACTTTAGAACCACTACAATCTTTCCACTTGGGCAAAACTTCTTGGAAACTGACAGGGTAGAGGGGTTATTTCAGACCTCTGGGGATATCCCAGGAAACAAAATCTCCTCTAAAGGAATTGTGCAAGATTGACACCAACAGGGATTCCTTTCCAGACTGCGTGAGACTGTAGATTGGGTGTTCAGTGCCACTGAGAAAAGGAGAAGCCACCAGGCTTTTTATTTACCCAGGGAACCGTCTCGAAGATATTCAATGGTCTGTGCCTGCGCCGACGTCTCCTGGGGGTGATCAAATCCTCCCCCTCCCCCCGCAAAGAGGAGACTGTACCCAGACCCGCGATCACGCACCTGCCGGTTAACAGATCAGCCCTCCACATGCAGAGGCACTCGCCCAGCTGTGTCGGAGGATCAGAGCCGGCCCTCTCCCTCCCCCACCCCTGCGGAGCAAAGGGCGGTCATTTTCTGCTCCTCCCAGAGCCAGAAGTGTGCACATGCCTTCCATCACAATTAACTTAAGACTCTGAAACAACACAAACTCACCCACAACACGCTCAAAATCAATGCCATCAATACCCAGAAGGAGGATACCAAAAAGGCAAAACAAAACAAATCTATTCAGAGAGTAAATACTCAAAGCAACAGGGCTGGAGTCAGACACACTACAAGGTCAACAAATCCAAGACAAGTTCAAGTGCGGGCATTTTATAAACTGAAGAGCTGCCCAATATCCCAGGGGTCAGAAACGCAAAGGCCTTCAGGTGCCAGCTAATGGAAAGGTCTGTAAGATAATAGAGGGTGGGCCTGTCAGGAGCTGGACTGCAGGGGCCCCAGGTAAAGGCATTCACATTCAATTTTTAAAAATTTCAATTCCTGCTGTGTGATTCCTAAACAGAGTCTACCATCAAACAGAGTTAAATATGGGTGCAGGGTGGATAAAACTGAATGAAAGTCAAAGTCAGATATGTTGCCAAGGAGTCCACAGGGCATGAAAGGCAGGGCAGTGATCCTAGCTGTCATTATTTGAAAGGGTAGTGACCACTTGGTTTAAATCTTCAAAGGTAACAGCAAAACAAAAGTTAAAAGAAATGGCTTACTAAGCTCGAATATGAGGGATTCAGATTAGTCACATAGATTCTTGACATAAGTAACTGAGCTGGATTATGAAAAGATTGCACACATTCCCTTGGAAGGCTCTAAATAAAGGGAGCCTCCCAAAACAATAGGTGTGACCTTATTGGAAGGCAAGGGGTGGACCGAATGACCTGCCAAGGTCCTGATTTAAATATGTCTGTATAGTCAGCCCCTGGTTATCCAGCCCAAAGAAGAAGACAGTGACAAATCATCCTAAGCTGAAGATAATAAAGAGTTATATTTGCCTTTGGAATGTATTTTGGTACTTAAATTAGAACGTGTCTTTCTGATGCTCTGAGAATTCACAATGCGTCAATAACAGCCACAAAGGAGGCCTGACCTGGAGCTGGGAGGCTGCCCAATTTCGCCATCCTGTCCTCTATGTAAATCTTCCTCTTTGCTAGTGGTGAGCAATGTCATCTTTTAGAAGAACACCTGGCAGCCCAAGTTTTCTCAGACAGGGGCTGCCTGGCTCAGCCCTTTGCTGGGAGAAGAGACAAGGGCCTTTCCCTGGTCTCTGGCTGATTCAGAATAAAGGCCCAGGATGGTCTGGTTCTTGCTTCTAGAGGATAACTCCAAAGTGCTACAGGCCCCACAGGAAGCAGCAAGCTAGACAAGGTTTAGACATCTACTCTAAACTGCCTACGAATGATGGTCTAGCTGCTCTGCCACAGAAGACACAAAAGCAAATTTCTTGAGTTCCTTGGAAGAGAAAGAGAAAAAGGCTTCACTGAAAAGGAAGGTGAAATGACCGCCCAGCACTGGGAAAGCAAGAAGCTGGGTGCTCAGGAGATGCAGTAACAATCCCCTGCCCCTCAAAGGATGGGTGGGATGGAAATCTGAGCTTGCCACCCATCGTCCAAGATGAAGGGAGAACCTGGTCATCATTGTGGGGGCCCAGGAGGAGGGAAAGATAGGAAGAAGGGAAGTTGCCTCACTGTTCTCTGTCCTCTGTCAGCTCCCAGGGCCTACCAGAGGGAGGCTGGTGTCATCTGGTAGGAGGCAGGGCCAACTAGAACATCTCAGAAGTGCATCACCACCCCTTACCCAGAGACCCTGGCAGAGCGGCACAGGCTCCAGGAAGCAGGATTTGGCCAGGAAGGCTTCTCTTGGACTCAGAGAGTGACTGGACAGTCACAGAACAGAACACAGACAAGCTGCTTGGCTCCGGCCCTGCACAGGTCACCCCCGGCAATAAGGGTCATTACAACCATTCCTATTTCCCCCTTTTCTATCACACTCTGCTCTTTAGTTTTCCTTCCGAAGTAAGTCCCAGACAGTGCTGTCTAATTTAAATGTGGCTGTATAATATTAGAATGAAATAAAATGAAAAATCCAGCTCCTTGGTCACAGTAGCCACATCTCAAGTGCTCAACAGCCACACGTGGCCAGTGGACGCCATATTGGACAGAACCAAGATAGAACTTCTACATCATCGTAGAAAGTTCTATCTGTCAGCACACTAATCTAGACTTCCATGAGATCTAGAATCTAGGAACTTCTACTCTTCATGGTGTACAAGAAAAGAATAAATGAAAGAAGAAATGCACTTACAAAGTATCTTTTCTATACATCATCAGCACTAATCCTCACCACTGCCCTGTATGGTAGGCAGGGGTAGATTTCAACATGCCCATTTTACAGATGAGGAAAGTGGGGGCTGTGTAGTTAAGTAACTTGCACAAGGCTCACAACTATTGGATGACACAGGATTAAAACCAGGTTTTCCAATGCCAAAGTCAGTGGTTTCTACTGTTACATGCAACTGCTACAAATAATGTTACTTGCCATTTACTTTGTTCAGTGCTGCCATAAAAGCTCCATCCAGCCTTCTAGAATGAGGTTGACAGGCCCCTGGAGTGTATTTATTGATTGGCTGGTTTTTGAAGTGATAACTAAACTTTGTACAATGTAGTTTAGCAGCTCTGTAGTTAGGGAGCCGTGGGGTTCAAATCCTGACTCATCCACTTACTATTTACTTGATAGAGGGCAAGTCACTCACCATCTCTGAATCCTAATTTCCTTTTCTTGTATATTTACTGCATAGTGTTGTCAGGAGGATTAAATAAGACAGTGCGTGGAAAGGCTTAGCACAGTGCCTGGCACATATTGGTGCTCCATAAATAAGGATTATCAATGGTGATTGGCGGAATTTACAATGCACTCACGTGCAACAGCGATTGAACCTTCACAATGGGGGGCGTCTTGCTATCTCCATTTCTGCAGGTGATTCATCTGAATCTCGGTGCATAAGGGGCTGACTCAAGGTCATGCAACTAGAAAGCTGTAGATCTAAGGCATGAACTCAAGCTATTTGGACTCCAAATCTTTTCTTGATACACAATGTTGCGTCTCAGGAGAGAAGGGACCGGGGGCGCCGAGGCATGGTTTAGAGGAAGTTTAACTATCCTTCTTCATCGCCAACTTCTCCCCTTCTCTGAAACAGGCAATTCATGTTTTCTTAGTCTTGTGTAAAATGCTGTGCAAAGGCAGCTTTGAGCATCCCCTCCTACCATAATTGTCACCCTTAAATCCCTCGTATATAGAGATTCCAGTGTCTCACTGGTGAGGAAGTAACACCTGCAGAACCAAGGAGGCCAAAATATGAACAGAGTGCCTTGAAGCAGGGCATTCAAATCTTCTCCCTGGAAAGCCTGTGGATTAAGCACTTTTCTTCCAATCTACCCTCCCTCCCAACTCACTGCTACAGCAAAGAGGCAAGGACACAGCCTACCAGAACCCAGCTGAGTCCAGCCAAGACCCAAGTGCATGAGAATGTGTGTTGCTGCAAGCCCCTGGGCTTTTGGAGCTATTTGTTATCTGGCCCTATTACAGCAAAAGCTGACTAATGTATCTGTCAAACCCAGGGCGGAAGGTACTTACCCTGCCACGACAATCTCAAAGTCCCCGTCGTGGTCCACATCAGTCACCGCCACTCCATAGTTGAGCTGGGTGGGGTTGCTGTCATAGTCAGGGGGCAGGACTGAGTTGGTGACGGCCGTGAACATGGGTTCAGCGCGCAGGGACCCCTCAGTCAGGGGCAGAAACCACAGCAGCAGCAGGAACAGAAACATCTGGAACATCTGAAACCAAAAGTTGCAAATGTTAGGTGCAGCAGTACCTTTCTTCCCTGTTCCTGGAGGGCTTGGCAACTCCTAGGCTGCCACTTTTCCACAAGACCTGTCCCGACTATGCTCTTTAAAACTGCAACCTGTCCCCATCGTGTCAGGTCACCCTTATCCTGCTCTGCCTTTTCTTTTTCTACAGCACCTATCACTTTATAACATGCTGGATGACTTCCTCATTCCTCATGTCTTGTTATTTAGTGTCTGTCTCCCTCAGCCAGAACATAAGCTCCACCAGGGCAAGGCTCTCTGTTTCGTTCATGTATGCACTCAAAGCCAAGGACAGTGTCTGGCACACAAGAGGCACTCAGTACACATTTAGGAAGGAAGGAAGGAAGGAAGGAAAGGAAGGAAGGGAGGGAGGGAGGGAGGGAGGGAGGAAGGAAGGAAGGAAGGAAGGAAAGGGAGGGAGGGAGGGAGGGAGGG